CACACTGACTTCTTCACCTTTTCGCACCTTCTCAGAATCCCTGCAGCAAGTCAAGTGGGGTGTAACCCACAGTGGAGCACCTGAATACACACCACTTGGCATTGTTCTCCAATGGCTTCCTGTACATGCAGCTTCTCTCCATCCCTCATAAATATAGAAATAAATTAAGTTCTTCACATTACTGAGCATAGAACGAGCACCTGGGAAACCTCTTGGCCTGCCAGTCTTTTCTCCATACTGCAGCCAGAGTGATCTGTACAGAACGCAGGCATCCTCTCCCTGCTTAGAAACCTTCCAGAGATTCATGCTCTTAGGATAAATACCAAAAGTCTAACAAGGCCTGAAAAACCCAGCCTGGTCAATCCCTGTCTGCCTGTCCAGGATCATCTTGCTGCACTGTCTCCCAGCTCTCTCTGGTCCCTCCACAGGGCCTTGGCAACCTCTGCTTGGACTCCTTCCCACTTCCTTCCCCCTTTTTAATCCTACTCATCCTTCATATGTCAGCTCAAGGACGTGTTTCCCTTTCTTGGAAAGCTTCCTGCACCCACCAAATTAGATCAGGTTCCTTTCTCATTTGCCTCAATGAACTTATTTCTTCCCATCAGAGCATCTGTCTCAATCTGTAATTAAACTTTCATCAGTGGCATTATTTGATTAATGTCTGCCTGCCCACTAGGCTATAAGCTACGTGAGAACAGTGACTGTGTCTGGCTTTGCTCACAATCGTCTCTCCAACCCCTGTCCCAGGGCTAACATATATTAGGTGTTCAATGAGTATCTGCTGGACGAATGAATGAATGAATGAACGCTAAGTGCCTACGTGTGCCATGCTCTGTGCTCAATCCTGGGAATACCAAGATAGTTAAGACTGAATCTCTATCCTCAAGGAATTCATAGTCAGAGGGCAACGAGGTAAACAATTATTATAGGGCATTGAGTGCAAGGATTGATTTTCAATGTCTTCCCTAGCCACAGGGTTGGAGGAGTGGCATTGTGAGTGCCCATGCTTTGGTCCACTTGACCTTCATGATGTCGTATTTGCTGTATCAACCCAGAGCACGAAGGGCCTTTTGCCCTGCTTAAGAATTTGCACGTCAGCATGATTTTCAACCAGGACAATAAATGTTCTCCAAAACTTTTAAAATAGGCTATACTCTTATGTGTCTGCAAGGGAGGGCTATTTGAGCTCACTTTCTCCCAACGTTTCTGTCGTTCTGTGATAAAACTTACTTCCTAGTAGCAGGACTTTAAATAGCAGGTTAGGGGCCTGGTTGAGGATAGAATATCAAAGACTGAACTCCGTCGCCATCTAGTGGTCCGAGTTGAGCTTGCGTGTTTTCAGAACCTGGGTGGGGAGGGCTTGCTCTGCTCCCCCCGTTTCTCTGCAGTCAGTGCGACAGGCGCATCCGTAAACTAACCTGGGGAGTGTGCCTAGAGAACTAAGAAAGAGACAGAGTAAGATGGCCTTAGGAGGAAAGGCTAGTCTGGTTCATGGGAAACCCCAGGCAAGCTTGCTCGTAGCAGGTGGTCCTGAGGTGGCCGATCATGGCTTGCGGTTATGATGAAAGGAAAGAAAGCTCACAGTGTGTTCCACTGTATGTAGGCCGAATTTCTAACCTGGTCTAGGCTGCCCATCGTAAGAGGTGGTGTGACCAGGAGATTGCATCCACCTCACATTTCCCCAGCAGTGCCTTCAAGAGTTTGTTCAACTGCTCAGCTCACTTCCTTTCAAGATGCCCTAAGGATTCTGGTCCTCACTTTCCACTGAGATCAGTTTGAGCCACAGTGCCACTGATAATGTCTCTGATCCTTGTCAGACTTCACGGTCCTTCCAGTTCTTACTCTTAGCTGTCACTTTGAAGCAATCTCAAAACCTAGTTCATACTAACATGATATTGGCTGATAAAAAGCAAATTTTCCTCTTCCAGGAATATCTGATCCTGAAATGTAATAACAGAAAGATTCTTGGTGGGGCAGGCCCCGTGGCCGAGTGGTTAAGTTCGCACACTCTGCTGCAGTGTCCCGGGGCTTCACCAGTTCGAATCCTGAGCGCCGACATAGCACCGCTCATCAAGCCATGCTGAGGTGGCATCCCACATGCCACAACTAGAAGGACCCATAACTAAGAACATACAACTATGTACTGGGGGGCTTTGGGGAGAAAAAGGAAAAAAAATTAAAATCTAAAAAATAATAAAAATCTAAAAAAAAAAAGATTCTTAGAAGAGGTAAGATCTGAGTTAAATATTAAGCAGTTAAAAGGAGTTAAGCAGTCAAAAAGAAAGGAGAAGGGCAATTTCAGAAAGAGGGAAGAGCACAAATGAAAAGGCACAAAGGCTGAAAGTATGATGGATTGTGCAAGGAAATTCCTCACAGTTGTTTTAAGATCTTTACGGGAGGCTCCATATCTTTTCGGAGACTGCAGCCCAAAATATGTTGCATATATTCAAATTCATTCCAGCTTAAATATAATTTAAATCTAACTATGAGTGGAGCTGAGTTAAAGTGACTAGCGGCCATAATGTTACTTGTTGTGGGCATTTATTAATTTTAATTTTTGGGGATTTTTTTGGTATGTGTTTTGAAGCCCATGCATTTGTTTAAGCTCAGTGTATAGTGCCTGATGAACAAAACAGCATAGCACTAAACAGTTCAGGGTTACTGAGTATAAAATTCAAGGCAGAGAATGAAAAGAGATGACAGCAGAGAGGCAACTGGGAGCCAGGATACAGAGAGTCTCGTGTGCTATATAAGTGACTTGGACTTCATCACAAGCCGTTAAAGAATTTCGAACAGGAGAATGTGCTCCTCAGACAGGCCTGTAACGTAGCTCCCGCCAGGGATGGTGTGGAAGATGGATTGGAGAGGATCGAGACTGGAGACTGGGAGATCCGTTAGAAGGATGATGCAGAAATGAGGCTCCAGACCTGGACAAAAATGACCCATAAAAAGTTAAGGGGCTGCAAGATGAGGCAACATCCTGTAATGCAAGGGAGCTTTGGGATGGGCGTCAACAGATCAGCGTTCCGGTCCAAATCTGCTGTCAATATGTCCCCTCTTTGACCTCAGTTTCTCCGTCTGTAAAATGAAGGGGTTTTCCCTGTCGATTGCAATTGCTTCCTATTACTGTTACTATTGCATTGAAAACCAAGTGTGTATGTTGGGAGGACTACCTATGGGTCAGCCCTTGGCGAACTGAGAAAGAGGCAGTGTTGGCCTTCAGCTTTCTCATGAAAATCCCCACAAAATATCAAGCATCCAGATAGGCTGTCACCCACCCTTACCGAATGGGCAGGGGCCCTCCCTGTACTGGGACCAAGTGTTCGATTGGTATTTGACACAGAATATCAAGGACATTACATGCTGGCCCAGCTGTTAGCCTTTCTTCTAGGGATAATAATGGCTCACTCTTACAGAGTGATAAGGATGTGCTAGGAACAATTCTAAGCATTGCATGTGCATTATTTCATTCAATCTCCACTATAGTCCTGTAAGGTAGGTATTATTCTTATTCATATTTTATAGATGAGAAAACTAAGATCCAGAGGGATTGAGTAAGTCTACACAGCTAGTAAGAGGCAGAAATGGGATTCGAACTCAGGCATTTGGCTTAGTCCCTACTTTTTAACAATTACACTGCCCTGCCTCTCATGGCAGATAGCTAACGTTTCTCTTATATGTTATGATTGAGCAGCTTAAAAAAGTGACACAGGTATTACAGATATGACAGCCTTCTGAGAGGTGTAGCCTAGACTGAGCATAGAATTTAGAGTCAAGTGGAGATTTGTCTTCTGGATCTGTCAGTTGCTGACTCAGTGACTTAGGTAATTTACTTCCCCTCTCGGATCATCAGTTTCCTTGTCTGCAAAAAGGGTGATAATAATCACATCTATCATGGGCTCAATGTGAAGATTAAATTTTAGAATATTTAGGTGCCGTAGTGGTTAAGTTTGCACACTCCACTTTGGCAGCCCAGGGTTCGCAGGTTCAGATCCTGGGTATGGACTTACACACCACTTATGAAGCCATGCTGTGGCAGGTGCCCCACATATAAAGTAGAGGAAGATGGGCACAGATGTTAGCTCAGGGCCAGTCTTCCTCAGCAAAAAGAGGAGGATTGGTGGTGGATGTTAGCTCAGGGCTAATCTTTCTCAACAACAACAACAAAAAGAAGGTTTATAAAGCTCCTAGAACATTGCATGTCATACAGTGTCATCACATTATTACCATCATCATTGTTATTGTCATATTTATTAATAAGGGACTAGCCTGGCTTAGGGAAGTTACAAGGTTGAGTTCGGAGCGAGACTTGAAAAGTGTTTCTCCCATGCAAGTACTAACCAGGTCCAACCCTGCGTAGTCAGAGATCAGACAAGATTGGGTGCATGCAGGGTGGTGTGGCTGTAAACCAAAAAGTGTTCCTTAAGGTTGTTCTGCATTCCAAGTCGCCAACCGTCAGTCCCATCTAGGAAATGCACGTGGGGAACCCATCCCCATTACAGATCCAGGCCTTCTGCCACCCTGCTCTGCTTCTTAAGCGGCAAATACAGAGGTCAGGATGTAATGTGGACCGGCCTGGTGCCGCAGTGGTGATGTGCACACATTCCGTCTCGGCGGCCTGGGGTTCGCCGCTTTGCATCCTGGGTGTGGAGATGGCACTGCTTGGCAGGCCGTGCTGTGGTAGGCGTCCCACATATAAAGTAGAGGAAGATGGGCACAGATGTTAGCTCAGGGCCAGTCTTCCTCCGCAAAAAGAGGAGGATTGGCAGCAGATGTTAGCTCAGGGCACATCTTCCTCAAAAAAAAAAGGAAAGATGTAATAGAATATTATATCCTTACCAAGTTGTGTGTATTTGTTTTTTAAAATAGAGTTTATTGAGCTAAAAAAAAAAAAAAATCCCCTTTCCTTTTTGTTTTTCTTTTTTTCCTACTGAGAGGGCTGTGTTTAAATCTTCCCTCCTTTAACCTCTTCCTGTTGGTTTTTGTTGTTTTGTTTTCAGATTCCGCCTGTCCCTGCCGGAGTCCAGCCGCGGCAGTATTGAGGTAGGAAGCAGAGCTCTCGGAGTTCCCTGTCCAGGAAGAAAGAATGAGCAACCTCCTGTCTGGTAGCCGGGTGACTGTTTTCTGTGTCTCTAGTGACTCAGTTTCCCCCACAAGTCTAGGTTTTAACTTTAAAATTCTTTCTGTAGCTGCTCGTCCACCACATCCACTAACTATCAAACAAGAGAGGAACTCTCCAGTTCGCTTTTATCTATTCAGAAAGACTTTAAGAACTCGGAAGACTGTGAAGACATTGTGTAATGTTGGAAGAACAGACATTTTGGGGAGATTTGTTTTTCAGGATAAAATAATGCTCTAGAGTGAATTTAAGATGCAGACTCCCGAAGGACGAAGCTATAGGTCAATTACGAGGCCGTGATTAAGTTTGCTCTTCGAAGGCGTTCTACCCATCTCCTAAAATTAGGTCAAGCCTGGTGGTGTAGATACCTTTTGGGGGGCCCAGCCTGGTGACCTCCTGATTGGAAGAGGACATCCCAACATGTGACTTGGGAATCTCTTCCCCCCAAGTTAGGGAAGATCAGCCAAATCAGTAAGTGGTGTCCCCGGCCTCATGGCACTTATGTTCTAGAGCAGTGGTTCTCGACTAGGGGCGATCTTGCCCCCCAAGGACATTGGGCAATGTCTGAAGACATCTTTGTCTGCCACATCCTGGGGAGTGGGGGGGATGCTATAGGCATTTGGTGGGCAGAGGCCAAGGATGCTGCTAAACCTCCCCCAGTGCACAAGACCGCCCCCACAACACAGAATAATCCATCCCCAAATGTCAGTAGTGCCACTGCCGGGAATCCTATTCTAGAGTGTGTGTGAGTGGGTGTCTGTGTGTGTGACAGGGTGGGGGTGGCAGACAGCAAATCTATATTGTATGTGCTTAAAAACACTGTAGAGAAAAATAAATCAGAGCAAGACAATAGGCAGTGCAAGTGGGTATGGAGCTGGGGATTACAGCCTTGGGGACGCGGGGAGGATGAGCCGGGAGTACCTGTGAAATTCACTTAGCACGTTGACTCCAGGTAGGCGTTAAATAAATGATGGCCATCGTTTCTATAAAAATTAATTTCACTTATTGCCACGTCTATGTCAAGGGGCAGTATGACATAATGATTACATACACAAACTCTGAGGCCAAACTGTGAGAATGAACTCCCTCTTACTGGCTGTGTGGCCTTGGGCAAGTCACTTAACCTCCCAGAAAGTAGTGCCTGAGACATGATGAGTTCTGGATTCGACTGTTACCATGTTCAACAGAAACAGCTACTAAGAGAGGAATAGATCTGGGGAAAGAGCCACGAAGCCAGAGAATTTAGCCAGGAGACCAGACAAAATGTTTGTTTATTTGTACAGAGGCATCCTGATTTCTAGGTCGGGAAGATTAGGAGCCAGTAGCATAGTGTCAACAAGCTGAAAAATAAGTCATATCTTTCATGCCAGATATTGAAGTCTAAAATATCAGTATTGTCTCATGCACTGTTAGCCACCCCCCCAACCCCCAGGGCATAGCCATTTGGTAGATGACAGACTAAAGTCAATCAGAATGCTCATCTGACTTTCTCATAAATAGTATTTCCTGAGCCCAGACAGGAGGCTAAACGACTCCAAGTCTTCCAGAAAGACCTAGATAAACTGCTTAGTATTAACAAGAGAGTGTCTTAACCATGGAATTTCTGAAAAAATGACATTGGTCCATACCAGGGATTTTGCATAATATTAACTTCTTTAATCCTGACAACAACCCTATGAGATTAGTATAATTACTTTCATTTCACAGTTGAGGAAATTGAGGCACAGAAAGGTTAAGTAACTTTCCCAACTTCACACAGTAAAGTGGTCAAAAAAAAAAAACACAAAAGGTAAACCTAGGAAGTGTGCCTTCAGAGCCACCATTGCTAAGCTGCAAAGAGGTTCTTATTGTTGCTAAGCATATAGGATGCTCAAAAAATATTCTTTGAATGAATTGATGTTCATCATAGTCCATTTATTTTTAATACCTGAATCTTCTCAGGAACCAACACTTTGCTAAGATTATACAACCACCATAGTTTATTAAAGATAAATTGGATAGCTGGTGACACCATTAACTTCAGAGTATAATATAATGCAAGGGAACTCCTGTGGCCAGGGTTCCCAATAAATTAAGGGAAAACTACTAATTGAGAAATCCATTCACTGTTCTAGATTGTCTTACTTGGTAGATATCTAAGCTGCCATGTTTGCTGCCACCATGGGATCGCTATGCATTTGTTGTCACCATGATCCAGCATAGAGGGGAGCCAAGATGTCCATCCTCAAGGAGGGAAAAAAGTTGGGGAACTCTGTAATATGGTTTCCCACAAAAAAGCTTTCGGTGTCTGGAAAGCTAGACCATCTCTATGGGGAGATGCTGGTTATTGCTCTCCATCCCCATAAGGTTTGGGAAAGTGCTGATTTGGCAACTGATCCGGTTCCCCCTTTCATTTTAGGTCTTGAGGTTCGAGAATATTCTGTCTTCCATCATCCACTTCGGAGTCCTCCCACTGGCCAACGGTAAGGGGTTCTTGGGAAAGAGTGTGACTCTGACATTGGCTAAATGCTGGGGATTATTTGGGACTTTCCTCCCTGAAGCTTGTACTTCTAGAGAGTTGTTATGAATCCAGGCCAACGCCAGAATGTGCAAAGTTTGTACCATCCACGATATGGTTGTGAAGTTAGTCATTCCAGGTCCAAGCCATGTTAGCAACCCTACTTACAGGCTCAACAGGAACAGCTACATCTGGCTGAGTTATGGAGATTGAAACCACTCTCCTTAGGCAGTAAAGTGTCTCCTTCAGGTCAGCCAGAAATGAGATTATTCTCCCTAGGGGCTATCTCTGTGGTTCTTGTGCAAGTTCCATCTGGAGAGACACAGCTTTTTTGTTTTGGGGGTTTTTTTTTTTGAGGAAGATCAGCCCTGAGCTAAGATCTGCTGCCAATCCTCCTCTTTATTTTTGCTGAGGAAGACTGGCCCTGAGCTAACATCTGAGCCCACTTTCCTCCACTTTATATGTGGGACGCCTACCACAACATGGCTTGATGAGCGGTGCCATGTCCACACCTGGGATCCGAACCGGCGAACCCCGGGCCACCAAAGTGGAAAGTGCGAACTTAACTGCTGTGCCACCAGGCCGGCCCAAGACACAGTTTTAATGAATGACAATGCTAACCCTCTCCCTGCACTGTCCTTGTTCACAAACTGTAGCATCTTGCATTTGGCTGGGTTAAAATACATTCTGTATTAGAGACCAGAGTGTTCTCAGGACCCACTAATTGAGGTATTTTCAAAATATAACTTGGACAAGTTGCCAGCATTTTTCTGCCATCCAAATGCACATGGCTGCAGGTGTATGTTTGTTAAGCTTGGACTAATTAGCCATTCTTCCAGGAAAATGCCAGAGGCGTACCAGAGAGAATGACAACACAGAACCAGCAAGAATGAAAAGAGAGATTATCAAAAAGCTGCATGTTAGTCCCTTACTAAAAAGTTTGCCAAAACTTCTGTGCCCATGCCCAATTAATTTACATCTTGTTCTATATTTTAGCAAAATTGCAGCAAGGATTTCCTCTGCCCCACCCACACAAAATCTCATTCGTCAATTCTGATGTCGAAGTGCTTGAGGTAAGAATGCGCATATTCTCTTAACTGCCCCATTTCTTTTCATTGTAGGATAAGTCTCTTCCTATTTTGCTTACTTTTTGTGTTATTTTGTTCTGCTTTGTTTTTTTCCCAGCCCCTGGGATTTTATCAATAAAATGTTTAGCTCTTAAAGCTTGCAATTAACAATGAAAAGCATTTAAACTTGAGTTTAAAAATCAGAGCAAGTCTAATTTCCCTTCACAGCCAAATTTATTCACACCACAGTACAAGAAGATGCACTCCAGCATGTTTTCTTTTATTGCACAAGACCACCTATAAGGCGGGGATTATTAGTCCCATTTCATAGGTGAGGAAAGTAGGACTCAGCGAGGGGAAGAGGTTTATGTAGCTGGAAAAGTGTATGGCTAAGGTCAGACTGGCTTTTCTGATTCTCTCTGTCGGTAAACCTTAGCCTGAACCAAAGACCTTCCTCTGTTCAGGCATCTGTTGTGAGCTGTTTCCTGGTTAGTTATTATTAACAAACTTCAGAACACCTGTTCTCTTCCGTTTTGTCGTTTTTTTGTTTGGGGAGGTGGAAATAAGATTCTGATGGAATTCTCCAATCCTATACACCACCCTGCATTCCCTCTTCCCTCCCCACCTCCCCTGCTATAATTGCTTAAATCACCTAGAGGTGACAGGAATCCAGAATGGCCTGTTCCTAAGTCAGAGGCACTCACAAAGGGGGACAGAGGTAGGGGAGGGTGTGACACAGTAGGACCTGGTACAGAAGCCATCTCTCCCTCACCCCTCAGGCAAACGTAGACATCCTCTGGCTGCAGGTGCCCGAAATCTGACATTATCTTCATCGTTGCATCCTTTGCAGGATTTACTTTTGATTTCCACCAACCTGAAGTATGAAACGTCCTTAAAGCAGCCGCCAAGTTTCCCTGGTTGGGCAGATCTGAATCTGATAAGCAGACAGTTGAGTGGGAAGCCAGCCCCTTGATCGCCTGTTTGGAGTCCATTCCAGGAAGTAAATGGCCCTTAATCCCACAGCTACTGTAAACCCAGACGGAGAAGACAGTACATGCTGGAATTGTAAAGCCCTTGTGAATCGCTTAGACTGAAAGTTTTCTTTCTCAAGCCCTCAGGGACGTACAGTAAGGCAGCTGGGTTAAAGAACTGAATGGGGGGGGGGGGCGTGTCTCCATGTGTTTGGAGGGCTGGATGTTTGAATGTGTGTGCATGTCTGAATGCACATTGTGTGTTCCTGTGTTTATAAGGTTCTGGGGCAGAGAGTGAGGCATGCACTTCTGACGAGGTGCGTGGGGAACTCTTCGTACAGATTTGCATCAGTTGTCATCTGTGGGGATCCCTCTTGCCTTCTCAGCTCTCTAGGGCCCCCCTTCCCTACATGTTGGATTTTATGTTTTCTATTTACTGTAACCGTCCCCTGTATTTAATTAAAATTGTTTTCTATCGATGTCAATGTTGTCTTTTTATTTGAGAAATTTCCTGCCCTGGATTTTCTTTTTGTTTTTTTTTAGTAAAATAAGACAGAGATGAGAGAATTTAGTGTCTTTAGCACTGATGAAAACTGAAGTTGTACAGATTTGAAGGCTTGATTTAAAAAGGGAATACCTTGCCTCTTAGATCTTTCCAGCAAGAAACAGAGTAATCACAGGAGGCTCTGGAAGTTGTATCATTTTTATAAGTTTTAGGATGTTTTCCCTCCCAGCTTAAATGAAATGGCAGTGCAGAATACTAAACCTAGATAATTCATAGCTGATGATATTAATGTTGTTAGGGGACTTAATCAATGGGGTAAAATTGGAGCAGAAGAGGAGGAAAGGGAAACCCATATGAATAATGTAAGAAATGAATAGAACGCGCTAACTTTGCAGCACTGACAATCCAGTGAGGGAAAGGAAGAGAGCTGTCGGCTGGAGTGCTGACTGTACGCCAAGCCCTGTGCTAGTTACTTCACAAGTGTCATTTCATTTAATCTTTACAGCCACTCTCCGAAGAATAATGATCTCATTTACAGATGAGGAAACAAAGGCTAAGAGAGACTAGTCACACAAAGCTGGTAAAGAACAGAGGTAGAAACTGAACCTTAAGTCTTTCTGATTCCAAAGTCGCTGTTCTTTACAAGAAGTCGGACGAGAACCTGAAATCTCTTAAAGCCCACTTATTACTCTGAACAGGAGACACTGTGTACAAAAGTATGATCACAGAGTACTCGTCATCAAGAAGTTTGGACCGGGAAGCCCTTGCTATCCACAGGGACTGCCATCTCCTCATTTCGGGGCGGCACATCTGGGCCATAATAGATGCCCTCATCCGTGTTTGTTGGAATAAATGATCAACTGTCACGTTTCGTTCTTTGGAATGCTCCTTTCTGACAGAAAAGTTATTTAGTGTGTGTCCCCAAATTCATGCTGAAACACTAGGAATTTTCAGTTGTGTTTACTTAAGCATCTTTCTCTTTCTCAGCTACAGACACCTTTGTCCCCTCACTGCCGAAACTCCAAATAGATGTATTCGTTAGCGCATTCGGATCTGATCCAGATCCAGTGCGTTTTTCAGTGCTGAAAAGCACTTCCGAAACGAAGAATAACTAGATCATACAAAAAAACTACTGGATTTAGCTCAGCTTTTAGCCCAGGAAAGAACAACTAGCAAGTACCCAAAAACTTGCGAGAAAAGCGATCGTTGCGGCGAGTTTCGGGCCTCGGCGCTTGCCGTCGCCCGTCCTGCTGCCAAGCCGGCCGCGCCTGCGCGATGAGTTCAGGAAGAGGGTGATTCGGCAACGGGACAGCGCGGCAGCTGCTCTTCAAAGAGGAGCCGCGAGTTTTCGCCCCCGTGGTCGCCGCCATGAGTCGCAGCTATAACGATGAGCTGCAGTTCTTGGACAAGATCAATAAAAACTGCTGGAGAATCAAGAAGGGCTTCGTGCCCAACATGCAGGTGAGGCGGGGGAGCAGGAGCGGTGGCGGGGCCTTGCCGGCTGGGGGCCCGCGGCGCCTCCCTGCCCACCCGGCCTCCTCCTCGCCCTCCCGGTGCCTGGGTGGCCCTGGGCCCGCGCCCGCCCCCAGCGGCGTCCCTCCCACCCCGCCCTTCGGCCTCGTGGCTGCCTGACCTAGCCGGCCCCACCTCCCTGCTGGAGAGGTCCCAAACCACCGGCACCCGCAAGGTGGAGTGTGTCTGGGGAATCCGAGGAAATAGGATATTGGTGTTTGCGGAGCATTTTCACCCTTAAGTCTCATAAATGCGCCGTATCATGCGTTCATTTCCTAAGCTTCAGAGACGTTAATGCTGTGTTACAGGGTAGCACAGCCAGTCCCGGAGATAGTTACTGGAACTGGAACTTAGTCCTTCTGCGTCATGCTGGTCGTTTATGTGATATTTACAGACCTGTGGTCGCTGAACCCAGTTTTTAGCATTCACTGGTCCACTTTGGTTTTTAGTAGAACAGTTTTGTTCTTCATAACAGCTTGGCAAATTCACAGGGCAAGGGGTTTTTAATATTCTCTTCGCAGAAGGACCTTTTGTTGTTGTTGTTGTTGTTTGCTGAGGGGGATTGCCCTGAGCTAACATCTGTGCCAGTCTTCCTTTATTTTGTATGTGGCTGGCCGCCACAGCATGGCCACCCATGAGTGATGTAGAAGGACACAGCTTGTGACACAGCTGCTTCTACCCGCCTAGTAAGAAACACAGCCAGGACTTGATGTCCAGTGCCCATCTTTTCCTCTGACAGGATGACGTATTCCAGATGGCGACTTGGGAGCCCAGTACCAGAGAGTTTGAAATCTTGGGCTTCCTGTATCTTTCTGGCTTCATGGCCATTCGTGCTCATTATTTTCCATTAAAGTGAAGAAGGAAGGCATTGGTGAGGTTTAGTAAAAGTTCCTGGTTGCTGCTCCTTCATAATCTCTGATCTCTGATCAAAGTGTTCTGGCCTTTGGTGTTGACATGATTATGTCCTCCACTGCCTTCGTATGCCTCTATTGTTAAGCTTCTTTATCCTCTTTAAATTATATGAATTCCAGAACTGAGCACACAGCCACATAGCTACATGTTAAAATGTTTTTACTCACTATTTACATGAGTATAGATCTGTAAATCAGCATAGGACATGGTAACGTGTAATGTGCTGTTATCTTGAGCACAGGTAAAGTACACTAAGGTCAGATAACGGCATTTTTATGTTTAGAATTTGAGTTTTTGATTTGTCTTTCTTCAAAACCCATTGATATCTTAGAAGCACAAGAGGACTGAGACCTTTTGGCCTTAGTGAGAGCGTAGTTGGAAGACTTTTGTTAACACACACACAGAAAATATTTTACCTGTTGAATTCTTAAGTGTAGCTTTGAGAGGAGAATAAGCCAAACAATTTGTGAACTTTGCAAAATACATTTTTAAGATATATTTAAAGATGGATCCGCCTTGTAGTTTTTGATAGGAACTTTTCTGCTTGGTTAAGGTAATAGAAAAGTGTTTTATAAAGAGTAAGGCAAAATGAATATTGCATACGGTGTTTGTTTTCTGTCTAATGCTTATATATTGTGTTCACGTGCTCGACATGGTTTTTCCTTTTCTTTGGTACCAGGTTGAAGGAGTTTTCTATGTGAATGATGCTCTGGAAAAATTAATGTTTGAGGAATTAAGGAATGCCTGTCGAGGTGGTGGTAAGTATGTTAGTGTTTTACATTGACAGTACAAGTGGTGTCTTCCCTGGCCTCCAAAAAATGGTAATTCAAATAACTATAATTTGAAAACACAAAAATGTTACCAAGGAATGACCAAGACTTGAAATGAGACCAAAAAACGGTTAGGTATTTGTGATCACGTTGTCAGCCACCTGGCTTTGTAGAAACCCTTTGGAGCTGGGTGGACCTGGTCGGTGTCACTGCTAACCTTGGACACTAATAACAAGAGCTACCAAATGGTATTATTGTGTACTTGCTATGTGCCAGGCACTTTACCAGCTGCTTTACATAAATTATCTTATGTAATTCTTAGAGTAACTCTAAGAGGAAGATATTATCATCTATATTTTATAGAAATGTAAGTCAAGGCTCAGTGAGGTTAAGTAATTTTAATTTGTCTGGGGTTGCACAGCTTCTTGTGACAGAGCCAGAATTAAATCCAGGCATGTCTGATTCCAAAGGCAGTATTCTTACCCAGTACACTGGTTGGCCTCATTGAACTTCAGTTGTCTGTCTATAAACGAGAGTTTATTACACCTATCTTGCAGAACTGCAGTGACAGGTAGAGATAAATACATAAAGCTCTAATATGATATGATGCTCTAATGGTGATGGTAGACCAGAAATCTAGTTTTAACCCTTTTAATTTTTAGTTCAACAGACTGAATCTCAGCCCCCTCCCCACCAGGGTATCCTGACTTGTCTGAAATGACACAGCAAGTGACAGAGCTAGGACTAGACCCGCATACCCCTGACTTGCAATCCGGTGTTTTCCCCGTTCTTCCACGTTGCCCTTCTTTGTCAATTGGAATAAAACCAGAGTTGATTTTTTGGATAAGTAGTATGAACTATTGAAAAGAATACATTTTTTGTGCTGACGATGCAACGTTCAGTAGTTATGTGTTACATATCCCAGGACAGTATTTGCAGGCAACCCTGTTGTGGTCTGCACAGAACACTGACAGCATGTTTGTGGTGTGTAGTCGCCCTCACTAATTCCTGTGCATGTGCTGCCTTTTTGAAGAGGCTCCCTTCCCGCTTCCATCTCAGACATCCTTTTATGCTTTGCTGTTTGAGTAGTCCTAACCACTACTCCTTCATTCAGTGCAATCTAGAAACATACAAATATACTTAATGCTAAAAGTCAAATGTGTCCTTTTTTCTAATATTGAATTTTTGTCTTCAGGTGTTGGTGGCTTCCTGCCAGCCATGAAACAAATTGGGAATGTGGCAGCCCTGCCTGGGATCGTTCATGTGAGTTTGTGTTCAGAGCTTTAATCATTTGTATTTTGTTTTAGTCTAGAAGTTTGTTGAATGGATGAATGGCCACACCCAACTGATAGTGATGTCATTTAGACAGTGACTTTTGAACATCTAGAAATAACCGTGGGACTTAAAGAACTAACTGAGTCTGGGTAACTTAGTTTCTCATTGCCTTTGGCTAGAATCTGTAAGCGCTACAGAACCTTTGAAGTAGTGTTTGTTTTATTGTTTCTTTGTCATAATACTTCTTTATTCTTGGATCAGTGCACCACCATTGAAAGTTTCACTGTGGCCCCATTCAGGAGGATGATGGGAGAAAGAATGGAAAGAAGTTTAAGGGTTAGGACTGAGAGGAGGGAGAAAGAAGAGTGTAGCTATTCTGGACATGATTGGAAAAGGAAAGCAGTGGCAATAACAAGGGTAGAGCTGGACAGTACATGTGGGCCGCCTCCACAGTCTAACATTCATATTCCACCATAGAGAAAGATGTTAAAATAAATCCATTCAA